GGGGGGGGGGGGGGGGGGGGGGGAGGGGGGACGAATGCTTACAAAATGTGTAAACGCGTAGCTCTCAAAAAATCGCATGTGTAAATTCGAGCATTTATTAATCTAGAGTGGTTTGGTCATGTTGGGTCAAGCTAGACGAATTAGTGATTTGAACTGGACTCAGCCCGCGGTGGCCAAGGCTTGCGCTAAATGACTAATGGCTAATGACGTTCCCCATTCAAACAACGACATTACGTTTAACACCTTGGTCAGTACGTGACACAATCGCGCCTCTTTGAAACCTCACACAACCCCCCTCCCCCCTTACTTTTCTTAGTCTCGGACAGCTCCCGAATTTATCTCAATATCATATTCTATAAACTCTGTGGGCTTCCTCACTTTCTTCGCCTTCCTTCCCTTCCTCCTTCGATGGATAAGACTGTTGCAACACTTTCATTCTTCAACTCCGGAAGGACACCTAAAATTATCTTCAACTGGGCCTTAAGTATAAAAAAATAAAAAAAAAACGTGTCGCACTCGGGTTTGGAGCAAATTTGTACCATTTTCTAGCTGTCCAGCTTCGTTAGTGTGAACATAGCAACTCAATTACAGAACTGTGATGGCGAGATCTCAACAGGCGACTTGAAGTCCGGTAAGGAGGTGGTTTTCGAGCTGAGCTATGACTATGTAAGTTTCGTTTACACTTTTTTCACCAATTCGAAACACGGCAGCGCTGAATACCCTATTGTTCATGACCCAAACTCAAGGAATCCTTTCTTTAGAACAATTTGGATGCCGACGGAAAACCGCAGAAACATTTGGTCCGTGTTACTCCGAGTAACGAGCGGCTCGCAGGTTCCAAACTACAGGTGTGTCAGGGCCTGCGCGGAAAGTTTTTCGTTCACTGATTATATATCCTTTCCAGTCCAATGTACCCAATGTTGACAAGGGGAGCGGCTACGTTGTGGAGGCAGAAGTTGAGGGAGAGGCGTCCATCGATCAAGCTGAAGTATGCGACTAATTTAACATATCGTTTTCACCTACTTTATTATAAACCTACCGGCTTTAGACCAGCGAAGTTTACTTCGACAACGCAGATCGTGCTAATATCGACTCAACAGATGAATCAGGGGTTATTTTGGGCGATGTTCTCTTCATCGATCCCGATGGTAATGAGATTATTCAACGCAATACAGCACTTCCTGATGGCAGTATCGAGACACAATACTTGGGGCAGGTAGGCTGAGCTTATCCCTTCTTGTTCTTCACTTTTTTCTCAATCGAGCTCGTTTAACTTGTTTCTTTAGTATTTTTCTTTATCTTAACCAATTTTGATTGACCCTGTTGGATCCTGATTCATTTTTTGAAATTTCTTTGCACGGTGTGAAATAATGGTCTTTTCGAAGATACTCTCCTACATTTTTGCTCTTCGAATCTACTTCCTAAAGACTTGAAGTGGTGTTCGATTCTTTGAGTAGCGCGAGGGTTAAAACGCTTTCCTTCATTCCGTATCCTTTTGTTTATCGTTCATAAGGCCTCTTGTGAATTTCTTATCTTTCATCAAGGTCTTGAATGAGTTTGCAAATAGGTCTGGCCCCCATTTCTTTCCTGGGATGTTGTCTTTGAAAAACAAACGCCCTTTATTTTGCAAATTATGCCTTGTGCATTACTTTCCGCCTATCTCACGTTAGTTTACATCATAGTTTTTACAGGCAGAAGACGGCTCTTTATTCGTACTGAACGACATCGTGTCGGCTGGGCTACATCCTTCTGGAGAAAATGTGGATGAAGTATATGACGACGACGAGATGATGGGTGTCGCTGCGACGCAGGAGTTAATTCTACAAGAGCAGTACGGGAATCAGGGAAACGTCCCCGGGCACCGTTATCGAAGAGTTGCTCATAATGCCTACTCACGCGATCATGGAGAGTTGGTGGAAGTGGCCGAGTTCAATGAAGAGAATGCTGCCATGGTGCAGAGTCCATATGATGAAGAAGTTGTAGCGATGCATGAGAATTACGCTGAGGGAATGGATGGCGAAGAAGGGTTGGTTCAGTACAGCGGTGAAGTGGTGGTCGGTGAAGAGGAGCAATTTGTTCAGGAAGGAATCGTTTTGAACGAAGAGGAGTTTAGAGAAAACCTTGTGACGAAGCCCATCGACACAGCCACTGCTAGCAGAGGATTCGATCGCGACACCTCAGAAATTGAACACTCGTTAGTAGCCGAATCACAGAAGCAAGCCATCAGTCAAAATGTTCAGGAAGAATAAACATCGCGGTCTTTTTGTCAATTCGGTCATTCTGTATGTTAGGACAGTGGTGAGGAAATGGTTCATGAAATGAACTCAGGTGATTTCGATACAAAAGATGGCCGCTAATTTGTAACGATGTATTGTTAGCAATGTAAAAAAAAGAGCGGCTACGGATAGGGTGGATCAGAAAGCAGAAACTTGGCCGTCGTATTGCTACTTATTATGAGACATATTGACTAGCTGTGCTGTGATCTCCCAATTGTAGACTTTTTCTGTGGACCTACAGATTTATCCTCTTCGACAACAATTTTGAACCACCCTATGCACTGATATTTGGTGAATTGCCTATCCCTGTCGTTTTCGTCATTTCATTTGTTTTTTTTTTCTTGAAAGGGTATAATCTATTATATTATAGCTGTGTTGTTGGTGATGGAATTGTAATTTTATATTTTCCACAGATTCATTTCCCTATTATGTACGCCTTACGTATTCGATACTGCTAATTTTGTACATTTTATGAGATGAGTTATCACTATACAGATTCATGCTTCATTTTGTTTTTTTTTTTTTTTTGAATTCGGTTCAGATCAAGACGACTTCAATGCATAGTAAAGTCGGAATACTGTTTGTTGTATGGACTGTCAGTCGTATCTAACTGATATGCACTAACTCAGTGAATAGAAAAGGCAAGTGACAGTGAAGGTTCCCAAAGTCTCGTGCTGGTAGATTTGCTACCAGATAGATTTGCTCTGCGTTGTATTAAACATTCAAACAACAACTGCTCGCGCTCCTCTGAATCGTTGAGTGCTTATTGTGTTCTCTACAGGCTGATTTTCAACCTAACAATGCCTTTTAACCATATGGCTTACTCGGGGACCACAGATTTATCTGGGTCTTACTTAGAAACAATTTTTATCGTGAATTGCGCCTTCCAACACTTGGGTATCCTTGCTTTAGGTCTACACCAACTGACCGACCGCTCTAAGGATGGAGGCCTGGCCTGGCCTGCGATGTCGGTCCGGCGTTTGGCTACACTTGTGTGACTGAATAAGCAGGCATACTCCTACCGAAAAATCGCAACCGCAACAAATATTGGGTCAACATTCTAAAAGAAATGCGATCGCCTTAACATCGACCAAAGCATCGCGATAAGAGATGTTCTATCAAGTAGATTGCGAAAAGCTTCATATTAATGACAGAATGACAGAATGGTGAGTAGATTATTGAAGTAATATGTAACAAGGAAGAGGGACTTCATCTAAAGGCTCTCGGATGTGCACTGCTTAAAAGCTCTCAGTGTTGCAAGGTTTCTGGAGATGCTCTATAAAGGACCTGTGCTCACCACGAAAGCAGCGATGAATAACAGAAAACCTCAAAAAGCTGCTCTTGGCATTTCCATAGGATCGTCGCTCCGATGAAGTATGAGTCATTTTTGGAGTTTACTCCATCAAAGTTGCTCATAATAGTCGGAATGAAATTTTGCACTCGACGGTCGAAGCAAAATCAGGAAATGTATGTTTCCATTCCTGATCGGAATAGTATTCGAAAGCAGAAAGGCTCTTGCCTTTTTTGATAGAAATATTTAAATCAATTCCTTGACACATAAATGGGGTCATAATGAAGAAACTCTTTAAAATGAGCTCGAAAGCACCTTGCATGGCAAAAACTATGTTTTGCAGCACGGATTCGTAACTCATCTCTGTGTGAGGTCATCTAGAGCAGGAAATCATTTTTTCGGCATATCACACATGATTCGGAAGCAGCGCCAAAGAATATTGGAGGAAACTGATTATGAATATCGGCGCTCAACCGTGGAGGGCTTCACCAGAAAATTTTAAGCTTGTATTCTTTTAGCAAGCGGACATTTCGAATAATATCTCACACGAGGCTTAGATATTTATCACTCCTAGTAATTGCTATTTAATACATCTTATTGTTTTCGATATTTAATACATCTTATTGTTTTTCGATATTAATCCCACTGTACAGCTGCTGGAACGATCTCCGGCAAAAGGGCCTCGTCTGCGACGTGACGTGAGCTCAGGGTAAGTGTCACCGATCATTCGGTAGATATGTTTGAATGTTTATTCAGAACGAATCACATTGAGTATATTTATATATAAATATAATATAGTATCACCGAATCTATCTACAGTATAAACTGACATCACAACGGAAAGATAGAGAAGGCAAAAGATACTCTCTGTTCAAAGAAAATACGAAATGAAGGCATTGCAGAGCTGGCAAGTTTGATGAGCAAAGAGCGACGAGGGTCCGATCTCGGCAGTAAAAAATGTAGCAGAATGCATGAATGGCAACCGTAGATATGGGCTAAGAACTAGATAGATGCATAACAGAAACTCTGAAGAAAAACGAAAAGAAACCCGGTACAACTGAGTCACCGACGACAAATAGTGATCTCGGCCAGAAGAAGGTCAGTGCTTCGTCACCGATGTAGATTTCTGGCTGGTCACCACCTAAAAATTAAAACTAACTTTTGTTTTCGCTGTGTTCTTCACGAACATGTTTACGGTAACACAATTGTCTCATTATATAATAGCAAATGGGAGACGGGCAGTAGAAACGGTTTTGGGTGATCGATCCGCAGCACGCGGCTGTTGCGAACCATTTGCCTCGTTATAACAGTTCTAGTGTTCTTCATACAGCTCAATCGCAATGCGATTATAACTTTTGGCATGATTCTACTGTTAGTTTGTTATTCCTGTATTTCGTCTTGCTGCTGCATTCTGCTACACTTCTTCGCGCGCGGCGTCAC